TATGCACATTAGCATGTATGTGTACTGTTACTGTATAAGTACACATGTTGTTTGTGCAATGTATAAGTGAGCAATATCAATAATGTTTATATATCTTGGCATGTACTCCTGCATGTATGTGTACATTCTACCTATAAGCTTGCCCAATGACCTTACTTTTAATTGCTGACTCCTGGTTCATCTTGCTCTTTCTTCCTCTCCCTCTCTCTCTCTCTCTCTCTCTCTCGCTCCCTCCATCTCTCTCTCTCATTAAGGTATGGGTCAGTCGGATCACATAGCTCCAGCAAATACTAAACACATTTGAAGACGTATCCATTCACATACTAAACAATAACACACTCTACACTAGCGCCACTAGAACCTGCGAGGAATCATTGCTACATTTATTTAGAGAAGCGACATTAACCTCTCCCTCTGTCATATTCATACCTGATCTCCGTTCATGGTGGGAGGGGGTGAGTGAGTCATTGCAGTATCTATTGATCTCTGTCATTAAAGGATTGCCCCATTCTCTTTCAGTGTTAGTGCTGGCCACTGCTGATTGTGATTATGGTGAGCTAATGTCTACTGCACATGCTGCATTCGTGTACATGTATGCCGTGCACTTTGATACACCCACACACTGTAGTACAAATGTATTTGTACTACAGTGTGTGGGCATATCAAAGGCACCGCCACGAGTTTATATAATGTAGACCACAGGAGGGGTAGTTAGAAGCCATCATCTAACTGCCAATTCTGGTAGACAACAGTGCCTTTCATACACCCACACACTGTAGTACAAACCAGATAAACTACAGCTGTTTTGTGTTACTGGATATACACTCGGATGTTAGTTGATTTAGAAGCCTCTAAATCAACTAACATCCTCATGTATATCCAGTAACCCTCAACATCTGTAGTTTATCTATAACGTACATGTACAGTGTAATTGGGGGTTTCCCACAGGATTCTGGCATAGTGTGATTCGTGTCAGTAGATTTTAAAAGTTACATGTAATTGTTCTAAAGTTTTTGCAAATGACTATGGGATAGCTAAGTAGTACAGGATACTTTGTCAAAAATGGCTTTGAAAGAATTTTTCATTTATAATTTTTCCTGGTGCATATACATGTATGCATGTTCTTATGTTGTGTAGAAATTTGAGCTTGTCCCAATAAAATTTTGTTTAAAGATACTCAAAAATTGGACTAAAGTCCCTGTACTGTACGTAGTACAGTGACGTTGGCCAAATTTCGCCAAAAATGAAAAGGAGAAAAATTTTAATTTTTATAATTTTTCCTGATGCATATGCATGTTTTTTGTTGTGTAGAAAGTTTGAGCTGATTTCAATCAATTTTGTATTTTTTCTGAATTTTAAAAGTTGCTAAAAGTTGGGCCAAAGCCTTTGGTCTTTGGCCAAATTTTACCAAAAATGAAAAAGAGAGAATTCTTCATTTTTATGATTTTTTCTGATGCATACACGTTCTTATGTTGTATGGAAAGTTTGAGCTGATCCAAATTAATTTTGGGTTTTTTATAAATTTTCCAAGTTGCTCCATAATGCTATGATAAGGCCTGTCAGCTCATGAAGTATGCTTTGTGTGAAACACTGTGTAACGGATTTCTTTTATCATTATTAATATTCTTTAATATTATTTAGGTGATATTCCTCCATTGCTAACTGAACTATTCAGTTCCCATCACTCGTGTATAACAATTCACTCACCATCTGTGACCGAACGGGCACTTTTCTTACATGACATCCTTATGAAGAAACCCACTGATCTTCCACCGACAAAGCCTATAAACTCATCAGGTAATGAAAATACTTGTTAATTGTGTGCATGTGTACATGCATGTACATTGTACATGCATGTACATTGTACATGCATCTGTCTAGTCCATGTACATGTACATGTACGGTACCGCTCAGCTATACTAGTGTAAAACGCAGATAATGCTGGAGATCATTAGTGTAAACGAAAACTTATAGCTGAGCGGTACTGTACATGTACACATGTATGCACTCATTAAATTTTGCCTTCCTTAATTGGCAAAGTTAATCTTGGCAAAATCACACAGTTTACACAAATACAACAGTGTTGACCACATTATCATGCAACCCACAAGAGCTTGAACAAAAATCACTGTATTAAAGAGTGGCAATGAATGTCTTTCTGGTATCTCTGTTGGTACTAATTTTTGGAAGGGTTCATTATGAATGAACCCTACAGTGTAACCAATATTACCAGCTAAATAGTAATCTACAGTACAATATTAGCATACATGTACATGTACGTATACAATGTATACACCCAGTTACATGTACTGTATGTGTACAATATACAAGTATTAATACATTTAATTTTTGTAGTTAGCTCCTTATAAATTATTATTATTATTATTATTATTATTATTATTATTATTATTATTATTATTATTATTATTATTATTATTAGAGGTGCAGTTTGCTGAACTTCCTGTTGCTCCCGCTCCTCCTCCTAAGGAGTTGACTGATGAGGAGATTGCCATTCTCTCTAAGCAAAGACAAGCTGTTCTGAGAGAACTGAGAGTATTTCTACGTGACGCTACTAACAAGTTACTAGCTGAAAGGAAGTTTAAAGAATTTACTAAACCAGTCGATATTGAAGAAGTAAGATAATAATGAATTTTGGGGGCCTTGTAACTATAATTTTTTGCCTCGAAGTGTATAACAATTTTCATGGAAAATTTCCTAGTGAAAATTTCAACCTACCGTATAGTTGAAAATTTTGGAGGGAGATAAATTTGACCAACTGCTAAATTTTGGTGATCAGTAAATTTGACAAAATTTGCGCCCATGCATGTCCCATTGAGCATGTGCATAATAACTCAGAATGGTGGATTTTTATTTGGTGAATGGCAATCAAAACTTCAAATTTGCTCCCTCCAAAATTACCTGCTATACAGTATATTAAATTAATTTATATTTTGTCTTTTAAAGGTTCCGGATTATTTTGATATCATTAAATGTCCGATGGATCTGTCAAGTGTCATGAAGAAGATTGATGAGCATCGTTATAATGTACCCAAGGAATGGCTTAATGATATTGACCTCATCACATGCAATGCACTGGAGTAAGAGCCTGCACTGACTGCATGTCATATGTACAATGTACAGTACATTATAATTATACAGTACATACATTGTACATTGTAATTTGTATACACAATTACACATACATGTAGATGCGTAGATGTAAGACCATGTACCGTACAGCTCCAAATTTTTGTCAGTCAAAAATTTTGTCAAATTTGTTGGGCCTTTTAGTTTGAGAAAAAATTTTGCTCCACGTGAGGAGTAGCATGCGGATTTACATGTACATGTACATGTATAACAAAAATGGTGAAAATTAATTTTAATTAGAAATGAAGATTTTGACGAAATTTTTGACTGACGAAAATTTTAAATTACATGTACAGTACGTCCTTGATTACTCATATCTCTTTTATCCGAACCCTCGTTTATCCGAACGCATGGCTCTCTCTAATGCACATGTTCAGACTAGTTAATTTATTAATAATCAGTTAAAATGGCATAGCAAGGAGGTCACAGAGCTTAATCAAGAGAAATACCATTAAAGAGAAGCCTGAGATGCTTTGCAAGTTAGGGAAAGGAAAGTCATACACATTTGCTCTTCAAAAAGTATAGGATAGGTCGGTCTACTGTATTCTGTGCTGTATTTTACTTATCCAGACTATTTAGCTATCTGAACATCTCCAAATAAAAGTGCACAAAGGTGTTCAGATAATTGAGGATATACTGTATATGGTACATCCTCCTGTACATGTACATATCAGGAAAATTTTAAATTAGAGTACATCTACTTTACATGCTATTAATGCTCTTGTCAATGAAGGTGCTAATATTACATGTGTACATTATTGTGTGTGTCTACATGTAGGTACAATCCTGAGCATGATCCTGACAGTAGATTACTGAGACACAGAGCAGTGGCTTTACAGGATCTTGCTCACTCAATATTTGATCATGAGCTCAGTGAAGATTTTGAAAAGGTACTTGTACATTTTATAGCCGTATCAGTCATTGTATGACTGTCCTCTTTCCCTCCCTATAGCAATGCAACAATATGCAAGATACATTTCAAAGAATAGGAAGTAATTAATGACTTCACTTCATGCATCTTACATGTACTTAAGATAAATACTGTATGCACGTAGCTCCAAATTTTATCAGTCAAAAATTTCGTCAATACAAATATTTTTTGTCATTTTTTCATCCACATACTACTTATGTGGAACAGAAATTTTATGGGTTAAAAATTTTGTCAAGGTCAAATACCTGATGAATTCCATAAAAATTTAAATTTTGACTGACGAAAATTTGAAGCTACTGTAGGGAGTTTTTATAGTTGTATTGTACATGTGTATATTATTATTGTCATTATGATAATACGTGTATAATGTATATATTTTTATTAGAAGGTCTTCCAGTGCCTTCACCTCATGAGGCTTTGACTACTCATGCTGTCTCTCATCATTTATCAAGTCTCAGTACTCCCTCGGGCTGCATCTCATCCAATAAACTCAAACTGACCTCATCCACGGCCTCCAACGAACCGACCAGACGCAGCCTAAGGAAGATGGGCATTAATCCAGAGTCTGGAGGCTTTCCTTATTATTCTCCGTCTAAACTAAGATGTGGTAGTAACAGCTCTGGAGCAACTCATCCACAGGATGAAGAAGAGGAGAGCAATGAAGCCTCTAGACTTAATCAGGACTCAGCTAAGACTAGCACAACTGATCCAAAGCCTACTCCTGTTGAAAGGAGCAGTGAGCCTGGAGGTGATGTCGGAGTTCAAGCAGTTTCTAGGAGGCTTAGTTTTCATGGAGAATCAAGCACGAAGCAGTCACATGGCGTTACTGGTGATGTCCTGTGTAACTTCAATAGCTACACTCCTAGTCTCTGTAGCATGTCTAGTCATGGTGAAACTGACACTGCTAGTAACAATCTTGTTTTAACGATTGAAGAAGATAGAGGAAGAGAAGGAAATGGGATGACACAGACTGTTTCACTTTCACCTGCTTCCCAGCAAGAGCTGGTGGTTGATAATGTACGATTGAGTACATTGTATGATAGTGTGCTAGAGAAGACAGGAGGGCTGAGTGTTGATAAGCTATTGCAGTTACACTCTCACTGCAGTCATATTATATTCAGACATAGAATGAAAGCAGATAAAACTGAACTATTACAGGTATTCACTTGTACATGCTGAAAACGAATGATGGTTTATTGTTCCTTTTTTAGGATCTAGAGAAATGCTGCGATTTATTTCTTAGGAAAAATACATCTACTCAACAATAACTGAAATGCACTTAAATGTGATTACCGTATTATTAATAATTATTATTATTATTTAAAGGTGTCCAAAATTGGGTAATCTTTTTCTTGCAGTGCTATGTAAACACTTACAATCCAGTGTGCATATTAGACCAACTCATCAGCTGTAAGGATTCTGAAAAGCAAACAGTATTGTCAAGTTAAACGCCCACGCAATACTTGTTTTGATATAGTGCAGTGTAGACTAGTGATTAATTAAGGGCGTGTCGCGTTTTAAAGGGTGGGGCTGGCTGCAGTTTCAAAAAGATGGTTCTTCTTAGAGTTCTGCTTTACTTCCTAGCAATAGTTTCATCAGGTTTGAATGCACATCTTTGTTGCTATAATAATTCTCATCATCACGCAGCTGTTTCCCAGACTAATGGCGACGTGAGACTAGTCGGTGGACCCACAACAAATCAAGGACGTGTTGAAGTCTATCTAACTTCAGAGAACGAGTGGGTAACGGTGTGTGATGACTCCTGGGACATACAAGATGGGACTGTAGTGTGCAAACAGTTAGGCTATACCAATGCTACAATGGTAAGCTACAATTAGCTACTACATTTTATGCTCAATCATTGATAAAGGTGACAACAAGTGCAAGCTATGGTCAAGGAACTAGTAATTATATCCTTCAAGGTCTCCAATGCACAGGGAATGAAACAAATTTGACACAGTGTGACACCAGCTCTATAAGACTATGTGACCATGGAGATGATGCAGGAGTAGTGTGCTGGCCAGGTGAGTAGATTGCCACATTAGAAGGGAAAACATGATGTATTTGCTTTTAGCTCCTACTAGTAGTGGTAATGGAGGACTAAGCACTGGAGAAATAGCTGCAATCGTGTTTGTACCATTCCTGATACTAATCATTGTGATCATTGCAGTAATAATTTTGATGCTGTACTTGACTTTCACATATGATGGGTAACTATATAACTAAATGCCTTACAGTCTTTCATTCTGTTTTACAGCAATGCTAGAGAGATAGAAGAAGTCCATTACCAATCGAAGCGATTCCGTGGCGGTATCAAGCTAAAAGATGATGATCCCACAAGTCATGTACGGTCAAGACGAGGCAGCAGCAATTATCTTACTGAGGGAAGAATACCAAGGTTTATTATATCGACTTTGAGCCTGCATTGACTTTATATATCACTTTGCAATTTGTAATTTATATAGGTCTGCATTAGGTGCAGGTACAGCACATCCATGGCAAGAAGATGAAGAAGCAAACAGTGAGATTGGAGAGAATGAACTATTTATTGTTGAGTCTGGAGGAGCTAGTGGTAGAGGAGAGACTGATGAAGGGAATGAGGTCAGACAAAGAGTTGTTGGTGCGTATAATCCTATGGCTATAAGAGCTGGAGAAGAGAAAGAAGAAGGTTGGTCTATTTTAACTTGAGGAGATTTTCATTAAATTGAATTATTGATACTTAGGTGATAATAAAGCTGGAGGTGCTGCTGTGATGATGACTGATGAAGAAATAGATAAAGAATTTAACTTAGGAGAAGATGATGACGATATCAATCCTTATGATGATTAGAATAAATTGTACATCTAATTTTTTTTGGAATAACACAAAATTTTTTATCAATAATCAGTATAATGCTACTGCACTGCTGTGCTGTGTAGTACATACTGCTGCATTCCATAGATGATAGATAGGCACACCCCACTAAAAGTTTATAATTTTAAATTTTAATCGGGTTTCGTCCTTCTTGGCCGAGCTTGAATCATCCTCGGTGAATCCTCTCCCTTGCTCTAGCACGATGGCAAGTCCAAGTTCACAAAGTCAGTATTATAAAAATAGATATAGCTAGTGACGCATTAATTAACTCTTAAGGTCCGAGTTCAGTCTATTCTATGTTAAAATAGGCACCCTAAAAGAGCTACTGGCCACAAATTCAATATCAGAAATCCAGTTAAGCGTAGAATGTGACAGGAAACTTTTTCGTGACCTGTCAGCTAAAGTGGTACTCACCTTGCCCTCACTGGTGATACAGTTAGGATTGACAGGAGCTGAATTTCAACAGATTGAGAAGGATTATGAAAAAGATTACAATAGGCAAAAGATAGAAGTGTTTCAGAAGTGGAGAAATAAGAATTCAAAGAATCAGGCCACTTATCTAACTCTGATCAAGGCTTTCATTGAGGAATCGAACATGGAGGCAGCTGAATATGTTATAGAATTTTTTAAAGGCCACCACCCATTACCCATTTCAAAATGTAAGCAATATATACATATAATACCGTAGTTGCCTGATTAGAAGCCTGGGCGTTTATTCATTAACAGGGAAAAAATTGCGTAAAAATAAAAAATCTGCGAAAGCAGGGATTGAATCCATGTCCCCTAAATCCCCAGACTGTGCTTCAACAGTTAAGCTACCATATAGTGGGTTATTTTCATGGGTCTAAATTTTTGTGGTTTGCTCCTAGTGGAGTAATTCATGGTTTGAAGTTTCATAGTTTGAATTTTCTTGGTTGACAGTTTACATAGCCTGTAAGGAGATGGCACTTTAATGATTTCGTGGGTTTAAATTTTGTGGGAAACCCCAAAACCATAAAATTCACAAAGATAAAGTGCCACGAAAATTACCAGCTATACAGTATTTGGAGCAATCTTAAGTCTGGGCTACCTAAATTGTTTAAATATGCGCATCTATAGTGAGAATATTTCAAGGATGGGCTTTTATTTAAGCTGGGCTTCTAATCAGAAAAATACGGTATATAGATCTATTTTATTTAAAGTATGTCTCTAGCTACTCACTATTCTTCCTTCTGTAGGTCATTCATGGACCAATGGTCATTCGGAAAGTACACGAAAGTCATCAGAAACAGTGACAGTTCGAAGACTTAGTTATCAAGGTAATTGATTTCCATTAACCTACATGTATGCTATAAATGTACTTGTACATGTATGTGCTTTCATACACGTTTATGTCATAACTAGACTCCTTCCTGTTTTTTGTTTTTGATTGGATGAGGATGTCATCCAATTATTACCAAAAGGGGGAGTGGGAGTATAAGGGCTTGCTATGTAAGGACATGCATATTATCACATGTGCTTTGATAGATGTGTACCCTCAGGAATAGAACTAATGTAGGGCCACACTGACTATTACAAGTATTATAATTACTGTTAAAACAAAGAATATAAATTAAAAGCAGTAAAAATCCTTCGTCACGTATGATTGTAATTAATTGTAAAAATACATCAATTACAGTACATTACAGATAAAAATTATCATTTAAACTACATATAAAAGCACAGTAAATTATAGCATTAAAAGTAGTCAAGTGTCGTTGTCATTGTTGTTAGCAGCCGTACAAGAGATAGTGTTTGACATACTAGTATTGTAGTCACAATAAGTAATATTATCACATGACTTACTAACAAAAAGGAATGACAAACTCACAAAATACATACAAATTGTTCCTGTAAATTATGTTTGTCATTCTCCCTAACGGTCCTCAATTTAAGTCAGCCTATGGCCTTTTAGCTACCACCTTGAATCCATTGATACCATGACATTAACCTCTTGCATCAAGATTGAACTGGGAGAGCTCTGGGTTTCAAAATATATTAAGCTTAAGGAAGCCAAAAAGCATGCTTCATATGAGCTGACAAACCTTATACATGTACCATATGTAGCAGCTACTTTTAAAATTCATAAATAAACCAAATGTGATCAGATTCAGCTCAAAAATTTTTCACAACAAAAGGACATATACATGTACAGGTGCATCAGGTAATTTTGGCAAAATTTGGCCCAAGATCATAATGATAGTACAGGGACTTTTTTCCAATTTTTAAGCAACTTCAAAAATTAATGAAAAATTAAAATTTGATAGGAATCAGCTCAAACTTTCTACACAACATAAGGACATGTACATGTATATGTATCAAATAAATTATATTATATTGAAGAATTTTCTCTTTTTCAAATTTGGCCCAAGACCATACAGGTACTTTTACCCAATTTTTGAGCAACTTTAAAAATTCATAAAAATCCAAATTTGATCAGAATCGGCTCAAACTTTCTATACAACATAAGAGCATGTATATACATCAGATAAAATTCTAAAAATGGAAAATTCTCTTTTTCAATTTTGGCAAAATTTTGCCTGCTCAAACTTTTTACACAGCATAAAATCATGTTTTTGAGTCAAGAAATGCAATAAGAATTCTATTCTTGTCATTTTTGATGAAATATAGGATATTTTGTCAAATTTTGAGCAAAATTATTGTCATATTCTGAAGCTTTTTTTATTGTCACTCAGATTTATGGTACAGAAGTTGGATTAGATTTTTCATAAATTAATCAACACATGCATTTGTTAAAATGGTGACTGATAAATAGAATTTCACAGAAGCAAATAAATTTTTGATGAACTTTACAATAGTTGCCATTTTACTTACATGTACCTGCCTACAAAATCGCATCAAGCACTACCTAAGTGTCCTTATTCTCCTTTTCTGTAACTGCACACTAATATCAAAATGCCAGAGTTATTTAGAAAATTATTACATTGTATAATAATTGAGTTAACATATTTTGTCTACTTTACATAGTTGAATATTTATGATTTTTAATTTTTATAGAATCTCAAAGGTATATAACAAGAGGGCCTCAAAGACATAGCTCTCATACACATAGTACACGTAAGCTGCATGGCTCCTTTTATTATTTTTTATGTTAAAATTACAAACAATAGATGGATATGATAAGCCATATAAATCCACTTTAGGACACAGAAAATCAAATAGTTATTCAGCAGGATATCTTCAGCATAACAACATTTCTTCACAAACTTTTGATTTCTTTTGTGATGATCTTGTTACTATTTTATCTAGTGATCGGGCACTTTTTCACCAATTTGTTGAATTAGTCACTTCATATTTACTTACACATCCGATAGAGAGGAAGAAATCACTACGTAATCCTTGCCTAGTCATTGGATGCAAGACTCTTATTAATGATGTCTGGACATTTATTAACAGGGCAAGGAATCCTGAACGTGCTTTACATAGAGTCTTATTGATACTCACTCAAATTGTACAATTAGCAGATATTGCTCATAACATTAAGGCTAGAGGTATAGATAGCAAATGTCATGCATGTACATGTATGTGATTAATAATACTATGATTATTGTAGCTCTAGAATCTGGGGTTAGATATTCCGCACTTGGTGATATGGATAAAAAAATGAAGAAAGATCACGGGCAATTAGCAACAAGTTGTTGTATGCCAG